GACTCTACAGAAGAGTGGATGATGGCGCCATCTGGTGGTAGAAGGTTGGCTTAGCCATTTCCCTCTCTTCCTTACTCATGTTCTACCAATTACTTGTTATGTTCTTCTACCCAATTATTTCGGGCTGGTATTCTTCAAAGGGCCATAGTAAGGTGTTTTGTTGTTGTTGTTGTTATTGTTGTTGTTGTTCTTTATTCCGGTTGTGGGGCTTGAACTCTGGCCTGGGAACTGTCCCTCAGCTCTTCAGCTCAAGGTGAGTGCTCTAACCACTTGAGTTACAGTGCCACTTCCGGTTTTCTGGTGGATTTTTATTGGAGATAAGAGTCTCTCAGACCTTTCCTGCTGGGGCTAGCTTTGAATTGTGATCCTCAGATCTCAGCCTTCTGAGAAGCTAGGATTACAGGTGTGAGCCACTGGTGCCAGGCTGTTTTTGTTTTTGTTTTGCCAGTCGGTCCTGGGGCTTGAATTCTAGGTCTGGATGCTGAGCTTTTATGCTCAAGACTACAAGGCTGGCGCTCTACCACTTAAGCCACAGCTTCACTTCTGGCTTTTTATGGGATTAATTGGAGATAAGAGTCTCTTGGACTTTCCTGTTAGGACTGGGTTCGAACTGTGATCCTCAGATCTCAGCCTCCTGTGTAGTTAGGATTATAGGCGTGAGCCTCCTATGCTCTGCATGAGGTCTATTAAGTATTATGCCTTCATTATGTGGGCCAAGACAAACTTGCTTATAGATGCACTGACCTCTGAAAAATATCAAGTGAAGATATCCTCGACTGGCCACTTCTTTTCTTTTTTTCTTTTTTGCCAGTCGTGGGGCATGAACTTTGGGCCTGGGTGCTGTCCCTCAGCTCTTCAGCTCAACACTAGTGCTCTACCACTTGAGCCACAGTGCCACTTCCGGCTTTTTCTGGTTATGGGATGCCGAGGAATCGAACCCAGGGCCTCATGCATACAAGGCAAGCACTCTACCACTAAGCCACATTCCCAGCCCCTTGACTGGCCATTTCTATCTACCTGATTCAAATGCTGAAGTGGGAAATAAAGTGCTAAAATTAAATTATTCTAAAACTGATAAGGTTCGTGATCAAATGATTTAGCTAGAGCTAGAGGTATAGCTCAATGATAGAGTGTTTGCCTAAAATGTAGGAAATCCCAGGTTCCATCCCCAGCATGACAACAACAACAACACCACCCCAGAACAAAACCAACCAACCAAAAAACCCAAATCCAAAAACAAAAACCAGAGTTAAACCTCAAAAGTTGAGCCCACTGAGATCGTCTCTAATAACTAGGGGAAACCTTGATGTTGAACATGACTGCTGACCCTTTCCGATCTTCTATATCCTCCATGATTCCTTCCAAATAATGTCCAAGAATTCTGGAATAATATCTCCTAATCATGTAATTGTTAAGAGTAGGAAACCAACTCTACCACTGGATACAACTAGCTTGAGGCTGGTGGTCCAGACTCATCTAGAGGAAGGGGAGATTATTGATGGTGTATTTTAGGTTGTTAGGACATTGGAGTCATTTTTTTTTCTTCTAATGAAGCAAAGGAACTTCGCAGCTCACAAAGAACATTGTCTACAAAGCTTTCCCCATCCTACCCTTAGATTAAACTCTTCTCTGCACATTTTTTCCCCACATGACTCATTAATTTGTAGTATGGCAGAGTCAAATTAGTATCTTCTATTCAACTAAGAGTCCATGGAGGGTAGAACTGAACCTTGCTTACCTTAGCTGTTTCACAGCTATCATTTTGAAGCAATGGTAATTGTATTGGGTCTTAGATGGAACTGTGGATTCTGCCTTTCAGAAGAAAGGAAGACATCCAGAAAGAAATACATATCTAGGGGCTGGGAAGGTGGCTCAGTGGTAGAGCGCTTGCCACGCATGCCTGAGGCCCTGGGTTTGATTCCTCAGCACCACATAAGCAAAAAGAAAAAAGCCTGAAGTGGCGCTGTGGCTCAAGTGGTAGAGTGCTAGCCTTGAGCTGAAGAGCTGAGGGACAGCGCTCAGGCCCAGAGTTCAGGCCCCATGACCGGACCCCCCCCCACAAAAAAAAAAAAAAAGAAAATCCAGGAGACTAGTTGGGTGCTGATGGCTCATGCCTGTAATCCTAGCAACTCAGGAGACTGAGATCTGAGGATCAGGGTTCAAAGCCAGCTGGGGCAGGAAAGTATGTGAGACTCTTATCTCTAATAAACCACTCAGAAAACCAGAAGTGGCATTGTAGCTCAGGTGGTAGAGTGCTTGCCTTGAGCTGAAGAGCTGAGGGACAGTGCCTAGGCCCAGAGGTCAAACCCCATGACTGCCCCCCCAAAAAAAAATAAAAAAGAAAAGAAAATCCAGGAAACTCATCTGAGGAAAGCCCTCCTACCCTACTCACATTGGGATTGACTTAAGCCAGGAGCTACCTACCCCCCCCCAAAAAAAAATCCTACATATTATAAGCTTTTTTATTTTTTTGCTGGTCCTGGGGCTTGAACTCAGGGTGAGGGCTCTGTTCCTGAGCCTCTTGGTGCTCAAGGTTAATGCTCTACCACTTGAGCCACAGTGCCAGTTCTGGCTTTTTCTGAGTAGTTTTATTGGAGATAAGAGTCTCATGGACTTTTCTGCCTGGGCTGGCTTTGAACTGTGACCCTCACATCTCAGATTCTTGAGTAGCTAGGCTTACAGGTGTGAACCACCAGTGCCCAGCTTATAAGCATTTATTTTGAAGTAACAATTTATAAGAAATAACACAGAGATCCACATACTATCCTCCAAGGTTAACACCTTGCAGTCTTCTTTTGCAGAATGCCTATTATGTGCCAGCTGCTGCCCTGGCTGCTGGAGACACAGATATGGGAACAATTAGTGAACAGGAGCCAGGGGAGCAAATGAGATTCTCAGGGAGCAAAGGACGGAGGGTGGCACACAGACAGCATTTGGAGGATAGGATAAAAGTTCTAAGAAAAGCTTGAAGTGGAAGGACAAGTAGATGGTGATATCATGGAGGCTAAGGTGTGGGGAAGGACGGATTCACAGGTGAGCAGTCAGGAAGCTCAGGGCTGCAGTGTGGTAAGAGGTGAGTTCGGTGAGGAAGGAGAGGTGGACAGGTTCGCCAGTCTCCTTGATTAGAGAGGGCGAGAGGGGGTGAAAGAGAATTTTTCAATGGATCTTGTCTCTAGGACCAGGGGTAAAAGGTCAGTGAGGGCCAGGATTACAGGGCCCCTTGGACAGAGCAGGAAATGGGGAGAGTTGGAATTTCCAGCTCAGCCCAGTGCTGGCTGAAGGAGCTGGTCCCGGTCTTTCTTTTTTTTTTGGTCCGGTCGTGGGGCCTGAACTCTGGGCCTGGGCGCTGTCCCTCAGCTCTTCAGCTCAAGGCTAGCGCTCTTCCACTTGAGCTACAGCGCCACTTCCGGCTTTTTTCTTTTTGCTTATGTGATGCTGAGGAATCAAACCCAGGGCCTCATGCATGCAAGGCAAGCGCTCTACCACTGAGCCACCTTCCCAGCCCTGGTGCCAGTCTTTCTGAAAGGAGATACTAACTGGAAGAGATGTTGATAAAACTCTGGCTGTTGAGAGGGAAGTTGCCTCAAGCAGGGAAGTCTGGAAGACATCTGATTCTCTCTGAGGAGAGTGGATTGGATTTGGACCTAAACAAGGGTGGGGGAAGAGCATTCCAAGCAATGGCCAGAGGCAGGAGGGCCAGGGCCTTGGGGGGTAAGGGGTTTGGCTGGCCAGGGTTGAGGCACCTGAGCGGGAACAGGAGGGCTGAGGAGACCAGTGCAAGCAGACCAAAGTGGTTAGAGGCGCTGGTGGGTATGGTTGGGTAGGTCAGATGATGCATGAAGTTTAAATCCCAGCTCCCAGTGGCTGGCTTATTTGATGTACCATCAAAGGTATTTCTTGCCATGTCTCAATTCCTCACCAGTGAAATGATAACTAAGTAAGCAAACGGGCCGTGGGAGGTGGACGGGATAAGATGATGTCTACCGAGAGCTTAGTCACCGAGCTCAGCCGGGTGCCTGGCTGCTGTGGAGCTCAGTAAACAGGTGTTATCTAGCACTAATGCAAAAGCCATCTGATGTGTGTTTTAAGGGAGATTAACCCGGTCACCCGGAGTGAAGAGGATTAAGCTGCAGACGGGCTGATCCAGAGCCGTGTAGCTACCCAGGAAACAATGGAAGACATTCTCTGCTAGGTACCTGGCACACAGGGCACAGTTCGCGCCCTTCCAGGGCTCGCAGCCCCGGGGAGCGACAGTCAGGTAAGAGCCGAAGTGTGCGTGCGTGCCAGTGTGCGTGCGCGCGTGCGTGAGCGGGGAGGGGCGCAGAGACGCGCCTCCCCGGCGGTTCCTCTTCTTCCTTCTCTCGCTTTCCTTCTCCCTGACCTCCCCCTCCCTCCCTCCCCTCCCTCCTCCTCTTCTTCTGGTCCTTCCCTCCTCCCCTCCCTCCCTCCTCCTCTTCTTCTGGTCCTTCCCTCCTCTCCTCCCCT